TTGTTATTGTTGATAACTATTTTTAAAATTATTATAGATTGATTTGCTGTCTGTAGGTGAACTTTTAATATTTTTTACCTAAAATTCTATTGAATAATCATGAATGGTGGATAAATAATTTTTTTTTAATTTTTGTTAGAGTTGACAACCCGATAACCTAACCCGAAAGTAGAGGGTTGGGCTGTGAAAATTTTTGGGTTGGGTAAAAAAAAAATCCCCCAGCCCAACTCGGACCATGTATACCTACTTTTTATCTTAGTTTATTTTCTTCCTCATAGTTAGTTTTAGCCAATTTTTTTAATGAATTCTTACTTCCTCTGTCCAAATGGCTACAGACATTTCCTAAAACTCATACATGGTCCAAAAAGGAAGATTACTTAAATCATACATTTCCTTACGCTCCTCAATGTCAAAATGCTGGATGGCATACAACACACCTTGTGCCTATAAGTCAACATGCATCTTTATCGACCATGCTGCGTAGTTACTATTTTTGAGTAACGGGTACTGGGCGTTGCACTCCCATCCTTTCCACTCTTTATCGTTGTCACTTCTCCTCCGATGAATTTATATGGTGACGACATTTATTTCACCATCTTTGGAGCCCTAATTCCAAATGTTGGAAATAACCCATGGTCGAACTCAAGTAGAACAATTTGAGGGGAGAGAGTTCTTGAATAGAGGAATCTTAAGCTTTTATGCTTTTCAATTATTGTTATGAAAATAACATACATATCATGAGTACTAAAAGTGGAGAAAGGACAACCGATCTCCTAAACTTTCTCATCAAGTTCCTAAACTTTCTCATCAAATTAAGAAACTACTTACAAATATTACTAAGTAAAGACTAATAATTTCCCTACACCTATTAAAGCTAATCACTTCTAAACAATTATCCTAAAATGGATGTAGGTTAATAACTTTTTTTTCTAGTGGAATTTATTAACTCACAGTTATAATAATTTTTTTTAAAAACACACCTCTTTATCTTAGTGTTTTATTTATCATACTAAAGCATTTTACATTGGATTCCTAGTTCTTGCCCAAAAGATCTCTACTACATATTTAACAATGCATAGTATATTACTCTACTTAATAAAACTCATGCCTCTAAGGTGCATGGACATCATTCAAAATTATATGCAGACAGCAAAATAAAAATAACCACAAAATATGGATACATGCTTCTAAGTAAGACATTAAGGTTGTAAAGGGTGTGTTCAAAGAATTTTCTTGTCGTTATGCACCGTTAGAGGAAGCGTTCTCTTCCTCTTCTATCACATGTGAAAATTTGACGTGACCCATTCTTTAAAAATTTCCTCCAAAAAAACTTGGAAATACTTATGCGGTAAATCTACTATCTGTCCAACTATTTTTGCTATAAGTCTGCTATCTGTCTACCTACTGCTGTATGTCTGCATGTCTGCTCCAACATTTGATTTATAATGTGTAGCAGCCCCTCTCTTGTCACTCTTGTTGTCTTTTCATTTCAAGCTTACCCGAGAATGCACAATGATTATTTGCTATCAATTTCTTTTTTCCATATGGATTTCTTACTTGGAAGGGTTAGCAAATTTTCTAGGACGAATTTGGATCTCTCCATTCTAAAAATTCTTCTTTGTTGTTCGTGTCATTGCATATTATTGCATGAAAAGGTGTACATGATTTTAAATAAAATAAGACCAAATGCAAATGAAGATGAACAAGAAACTATGTGGCAACGTGCACTACACGGAAATAAGATTTATCATCGATCACATCCTAATGCCCTAAAACCAATTGGCCTCCCTAATATGCTGAAATTAACCACATCCAAGTACGATTAATTCTCATGCAAAAGTTGACTACCTTTCGTTGGGGCATGCAAGTTGTTCACGACAAAAAAGTAAAATAATGACAAAAAAAATTTATCATTCTAAGGAAAGTAATGCAACTATGCAAGTGCATAAATAAAAAGAAAAAAAAAAAACTAACTTGGTTTTTTTGGAGCTTGTTACGTGTCTACCGTTTGTCAGCTCCCTTTTCCTCAATTGTTTTTTTTTTCAGTTATCCATTGTCAAAGAAATAATTTTATGGGTGGAAATAATATTGTGAAATCTATCCTCTATATATCAAATAGCTCTACTTGTAAGATGTAGTTCAAGGGTATGTTCTCAATATATGACATTATTGATGAATTTTTTCTTTCCTATAATTCTAGTGATTAAACATATCTTACGAGTTCATCCAATTCTGATTGCTGTTTAGTGCAATTATTCCAATTGTTGTCTTCTTCTTGTTGCTGTTTTCAACTATCAACTACTGGATTCTTTGTCAATTTATAAATTGTTGATCGATTCTCTACTACTGCTGGATATTTTATGTTGTCGTCGATATTAAATTCTATTTGTTGATCATTCATTTTCAACATTATAGTTCTGTTGTGGACATCTACAATTGTTCTTCCAGTTTTCAAAAATGCTCTCTCCAAGATAATTGGTATTCATGGTTCGCTTCATAATCCAAAATGATAAAACCTGCTGGAAATATGAACTTGTCCACTTGAATTAGAATATCTTCTATTTTTCCTTCTAGATGAGTGAAAGATGGGTCTGCTAGTTGGAGGATGACATTTGTTGATTGTATAAGACTTGTCTCTTCCATGAGACGTTTTGATAGTTTTTCCACCCTGAATTATAGTCTTTGAGAAGTGATTATTTTTTAGATGCCTTATTAGTTTGATTCTTCACATAAAAAATTGATGTTAGATTACTAGACGTTAATCAAAACTTTGTTCTTCTCCACAATATACACAAGATTCAGCTGCTGTTTGGGTCATTACAAATGCAACTTGGACGGGTGCTTTATTCATGGAACCTTCTCCTAATGCTAGATTTTGTAGAATATTAGTCACCGAAGCTAATTAAGCGTTGATAGAGGATAAAGCATCAACTTCAAGTACTCCTAAAGTCTTCTTTTCTGGATTGCTTCTCACATCAGCCAATTGACAATTATTAATCAAGCGTTGATTGCCAATTGCTCCCCATGAACACCTTCATCATCATACTGTGCGCGTCCCCGCTCATCATCATTAGTGGAGAATTATCCCGATATATATGAACACATAAAATGCACGAGATCCCCACAGTTTTCATTTTTAAATCATCTTTAAGACACAACACTATACACCATTCACTTATTATTCTAAGTAACATGCATGCATTGACATTCATATATTCATCATCATTAACATTAACTAGGGTTGTGTCTTTGAAAACTTGTCGTCATAATGCATTGTGGCATTTAATACATGCACAACATCTTAATATGGAAGATTGTCATATTAAGGCATTTCATCATCATACGTCTCATCATCTTATTATTATGCATCATCGTCATCATGTCAACATCATGTACATCATCACATCATCATATAACATCAACACATCATCATTTAACGTCATCACATCATCATATAACATAAAGCATAAGTGACACGTACAAGGGCCACTGGACACGTGTCGTCATATATAAGACAAGTCTTCCGACCGAGCTGACAGAAAGACAACTTACCTGATTAGCTTAAATTGTTGTCATGAATTTATCGTTAATGAAAGTTTGATTCTGTCTTTTGAAATCCAAGTTAACCTATGTGTGCTCATGACATTAGTTTCAAGTTCGAACTTTCATGTAACAAGTTTATAGACGGAGTTAACCATTTTTCTAGAAGATATAAGCTATTGTCATATAAAAGAATTTGATAAATTTATTTTATGTTAGAGTATTATCTGCTTTCTAGTCCTATGATATTTCAAATTCAATTATTTTTCCATGGTTTATCCTTTATAATTCTTATTCTTAGAAGTTAAGTTGTGTTTGACCGTAGACATCAAAATTGACAATTCTATTCCCCTCCTTTTTCTTTTAATTTTATTAATAATTATCTTTATCCCATTTTAATCCAACAATAAAAGACTTCCATTTTTTATTCTCCTTCCTTTTAATTCTTTTTGTAACTATCTTTCAACAATTTTAATGATTTTTTTTTCCTCACCTTTTAATGGTCTTTGTAATTATCTTTATTCAATTTTAATAGATTCTTCTTTTTTTACCATTTTAATGTTGTTGATCATGATTTTCTAAAATGATGGTAAAAATCTAAATAATTGAAATAGAAAAGAAATAGAAGATCTAAATTTTTTTTTTCTCTCTCTCAATTAAACCTATATAAAGTCTTGTTTTCCTTTTTCTCTCTCACAGTAAATCTTACTATTTTTTCTTTTCTTTTTATTGCCATCAGTGATCATTATGTTGTTTGAGGAGGTGTTGCAATAAAATAAAATAAAATAAAATAAAAGTGAATTTGAACTTAAATCCTCCTTTTATTTTTTTAACATTTAATTTGATCCAAATTGTAAAAAATAATAATAATAATAATAATAAATCAAAATTGTTGTAATTTTAAAACTATAATATTTTTTCATCCAAATATTATTACAGAAGTTCTCTTAGACGTTAAATAAATTAAAAATATTAATACTATTTTTGAAAATTTATGAATATTTTTTAACCTGAAATAAAGTTGTATTTATATAATGATAAACGTATTATTAAAATAAAAGTAGTGATCATAAGATTTCTATGTTACATTATTAAAGGGCTTGAATTAAAAATGTTCATCTCTTATTGAGAACATCTCTCTCACCAATAGCTTATCTTCTCTAGCGTGGTTGATTCTGTACAGTCTTCACATCACTCCATTGGCTGCGGCGGAGGGGGCGGAGAGGGGAAGAGAAACGCCGCCGGGGGTGGCGGAGAGGGAAAGAGAAATGCCGCCGGAGGTGGTGATTTAAAGAAGTTTCGCGTAGGTGGTGGCGGAGAGGGGAAGAGAAATGCTGCCGGAGGTGGAGATTTAAAGAAGTTTTGCGTAGGAGGTGGCGGAGAGGGAAAGAGAAATGCCGCCGGAGGTGGTGATTTAAAGAAGTTTCGCGTAGGTGGTGGCGGAGAGGGGAAGAGAAATGCTGCCGGGGGTGGCGGAGAGGGGAAGAGAAACGCCGCCGGAGGTGGAGATTTAAAGAAGTTTTGCGTAGGAGGTGGCGGAGAGGGGAAAAGAAACGCCGCCGGGGGTGGCGGAGAGGGGAAGAGAAATGTTGTCGGGGGTGAAGATTTAAAGAAGCTTCGCACAGGAGGTGGCGGAGAGGTGAAGAGGAACGCCGCTGAAGGGGGCGGAGAAGTGAAGAGGAAAGTAGAAAGAGATCTACGGGAATGGTTCAGGTCCGGCGATGAGCCAGCAATGGCAAGAAATGGATGAAAGAAAAGTGGAAAAATGAATAGCATAAATAACACTAAATCATTCATTTTTTGTTCTTTCTTTTTGATGTTTGGTGATCATAAAGATTTTCAATCTAAAAAAATTTATAAGAATAATGTACATTTTCAAATAGTAAATACTAAATTTGTTTTTTAAAAAATAGTAAAAAAAAAAACAAAGAAATTTAAATTTAAAAAAATTACTCTAAAGTTCCCATAATACCATTAAACTTCCAATAAAGTAAAAAAAAAAAAAATTGAGTTAAATTTTAAAAAAAATAAAAAAAAAATATTCTTATAATTGGTTAGGAATAAAAATTGTTAATATTTTGTTTAAAAAAAAGTATCTTTAAATTTTCATAAAAGTTTCATTATAATTTAGTTATGGAAAAAGATATTTGGGGAATGAGTTATGAGGGTGGAGAGTTAGATGAAGTTTCATTATAACTAGATTTCAAATTAAATGAAAATATTTTCATTCTAAAATTCAAATTAAAGTTGGATGAAGTTTTTCTAAAATAAAATAGATTAAAAATGGTTAGATATCTTTTTTTATATAGCATAATTAGTTTCCCAAAATCATTTGTTACCAATAAATTAGGAAAACTCAACCAAAAAAATATAATTTATTACTACATTAAAGTAGTTGTTCAGACGAGTTTATAAAGAGATGAGATTGTTCGGAAGAGTTTATAAAGATGTGAGATTTAGAGGTAGAATATTTGTGTGACGACAAAACGGGTTTGCTAAAAATAGGTCAATAGGGTTTATGTACTCTTGATGATCTCTTTTGTTGCTATTTGTCTAATCTCAATTCTCTTGAGACAAGTGGAGTGGCAATGTATTTTTTTTAGGACTTAAAAAGCATGTACCAACGGGCCGAAATCCAGCAACATCTCTTAAAAGCCCTCCCTCAAGTTTAAGCATCAAGAGGCGTGTCCCAACTGAACCTAATCCAGCAACATCTCCCGAAACACCTCCATTGGGTCTAGGAGCTAAGAGGCGTGTCCCAACGAGCACAAATCCAGCAACATCTCCTGAAGCCTTCTGTCAAGTTTAGTCACCAAGAGGCATATCCCAACGGGACCAAATCCAACAACATCTCCCAAAACGCCTTCATTGGGTCTAGGAGCTAAGAGGCGTGTCCCAACTGACCAATAACCAACAACATCTCCTGAAAGCCCTCCCTCAAATTTAGGTACCAAGAAGCGTGTCCCAATAGGACCAAACTCAACAACATTCCCAAAACGCCTCCATTGGGTCAAGGCACTAAGAGCCGTATACCAACTGGCCCAAATCCACCAACTTCTCCTGAAAGCCCACCCTCAAGTTTAGCCAACAAGAGGCGTGTTCCAATAAAACCAAATCCAACAACATCTCCCAAAATGCCTCCATTGGGTTTAGGCACTAAGAGGCGTGTACCAACTGACCCAAATCTAGCAACATCTCCTGAAAGCCCTCCCCCAAATTTAGGCACCAAGAGAAATGTCCCAACAGGACCAAATTCAGCAACATCTCCCATAACGCCTACATTGCCTCTAGGCACTAAGAAGCGTGTACCAAATGGCCCAAAATCAGCAACTTCTCCTGAAAGCCCTCCCTCAAGTTTAGGCACCAAGAGGCGTGTCCCAATTGGACCAAATCTAGCAAAATCTCCCGAAAAGCCTCAATTGGGTTTAGGCACTAAGATGCGCATTCCTACTGGCCCAAATCGAGCAACATCTCCTAAAAGCCCACCATTAAATTTATTATGACGCCTCCTAATAGTAGCAAGCTTAATTAGGTTCTCGATGTATTACAATGCCTCCTAGTGAGATGATTCAACTTTAGGGTGACGGACTTTAATAATGGGCGTGAAATAGAATAATTTAGTCTTAAAATCTTTTTATTCTAAAACTATGATAATAATATTTCTTTACCTTATATTCAAAATCTCCATTACCTATGAGCATATAATTTTAATTCTACCTCATTGATTAACCTTTATAATTTAACAATTATGGACATACATATGAAAGTTAATTGGTGAGAATTCAGCTTTTCTCCCAAAAAAAAAAAAAAAAGAATTAACGGGTAAAAAAGTTACAATATTTTTTAATATGACAGCACATACAATTTATGAGATATTATTGAGATATTTTTAGATAATTTTAATTTTACTTTCTTATATAAATAATGTAAGGCCCAAAAAAATGAAGAAAAAAAAGAATACGATAAAAAAAACCTCACCGCACACTTCTCTCCACTAATGTCTCATCCCTTTTCCAAACTATCTCTTGTCAACCAAGTCGTGGTCATGCTAGAATAGGCTACAATATAGGTTTTGCAAAAATA